ATATATATCTCACAGTGGACTACTTAATTTTGCTAACTTTGCTGTGTGTTTGGAAATTTGTTGTGTGTTTGGAAATTTATTCTAGTCAATATTATTTTAAGTGACTCTATTTTAAATATACATATATATGTGTGTGTGTGTGTGTGTGTGTGTGTGTGTATTGTCAGAATACTGGGAATTTTATCAAGTGTCACAAATTATATCCCTCATTTAAAATTTTCAGTTATAGTTTGGAAAGTATAAAAATTATCTACATACACCTAGAAAAATATGAATCAGATTCTGTTTACACATAACTAACTATATTGTCCTATGAGGATAAAGAAGCATAACTTCCCCAAAATCCTCTTTAAATCAAAACACAAAATGGTACATGGAAAATAAAAAAATTGTCAACCAGGTATCTTCAAACTATAAAGATTTGCTTATTAAGTATTAATATCTAAACATCTGTTACAGGCAAATAGTTTAGGAAATGTATACAAAACAGTGGCTGCAAAAAAACATGACTTCTGATGCAGTAGGTAATACCATGGTCAAGTGAAGTGGATAAACTTTTGTAGGACTGGTTGAAATCAAATGAAATATTATCATAATTTTTAAAACAACGGTAAGACATCCTTAAACCACAGGCTGATGTTATCAGTATTACCTTGCCTCAGCAAAATTTTACATCATCTTTTATGTTAGCTCTAAATAAATTTATAAAAGGTTACATTAAATTTTTACAAATTTAACAGTTTAACAAAATAGATTTGGAGTTAATAAAAAACTTACGAGAAATTTTCCTAAACAGAAAACAGGTTTTACCCAAACCAAATTGTGGGATGAGGATCTCTGTTTGTTTGTTTGTTTGTTTTGCCAGTGGTTAGTCCAATAGGTTGTGCTGGTCAAGTTCAGTATTCTTTATGATGTAAATTAGATTGCTAACTAGGTAGGTCAGAGATTGGGCACAAGATTCTGCACTGCTAATAAGCTTCCAGATGATTTCTGCACAAAATCAATTTCCACCCCAGGCCAGAATCAAAATGCTGAAGTTGATTCAAATGCATGATATTTAAGAAACACTGCTTTATTCACTAAAGAATTGGTTCATATCATATTAGAGTAGACAAAATTAATTCATTCCATTCAATATACCTCATAAAATAAGATGAAAAAAGTAACTCAGTATACATAACTTTTCCTCTCCCTAAAAATTATATATTTTCTTTTCACTTCTGAAAATAAATCCTTAAAAAACAAATCATGGTAGTGTCTCTTATGACAACATTAGCTTAATCTTGTCTCTGAGTATTTACTGACATTTTTAATTAAAATGACTATAGAATGTAACTGTACTGTATACCTAAAATCCACCACTACAAATATATTTTTATGTGACCCAAGTAAGAAAAATCCACTGATCACCTTGGATTTGTAGCCTCTACAAACTCATCCTAACACAAGGGGCAATCTGAAGATATTTTATTTTAAATTAGGTCCACTTCTTTGACCTAGTTCATTTCTCACTATTCAGAGACGTGAAAAAAATGTCACAGTTTCCTTTCAAAAATGTTTAACCTTCATTGTTTTCGTTGCTGTTGTTGTTATTTGGAGGTTTTTGTTTTTGTTTTTGTTTTTTGCACCTGTGAGGCAGGCTGCAGAACCACTGAGCTAAATCCCTGGCTCCTTCATTGTTTTGTTATTAAAAAAAAAGATATATCTATCTATCTATAGATAGATAGATAGATAGATAGATAGATAGATAGATAGATAGATAGATATAGAGAGAGGAAAATTTAGAAATTCCTAAGCCAAGAAAGACTACCAACCACTCAGACTTAACCACTATTTATATTTTGTCCCATAAAACACCAAGATTTATTCTAGGCATGTATTTTTACTTTTGACAAAACTGGGATCATGAAGAATGTACTGTTTTGGAATCTGCTTTTCTCCACTCAACAGTGTAATTTGGACCTCATTTTAAATCGTTCAAGCTTGTCTTGGTTACTTTTCTCTCACTACTGAAAGAAAATATCTGACATTCAAAATTCAAAGAGGAAAGATTTATTTCCTTGGCAGTTTGTTAGAGATTTCAGCCCATGATAGGTTGACTCTGTTACGGTTTATGCTTTGCTGTCCCCCCAAAGCCTCGTTTCTTCAGAGGTGGCTGAATCAAGAGTGTGAGGCTGGGATTAAGGGTTGTGATTACTAAACCAGTACACTGGTTGATTTGACACCACCCTAATCCCAGTAGTCTTAATAAGAATAAAGGGGCAGAAAGATGCTGTTAAGGCTTCCTTGTTGCTTTTGCTACCTTGTGGGCACCGTGACTGTTCTCCTCTTTGATGCTCTTCTGCCCAGCCACTCCACCTTGGAGCCAGCAGATTATGGACTGAAACCTCTACAAACTTTGAGGTAAATAAACATTTCCTCCTTTAATTTGGGGTATCAGATATTTTGTTTCAATAATGAGAAAAAAGAAACTAGGACAGAAATTTCGAACCAGGAGTAGGGTTGTTGCTGTGACATCACCTGGCCATGTGGCTCAAGAGCCTTTGGAACTGGTTTATGGGAAGAGGGGAAGAGTTAGGAAAGATTTGGAGATGCTGACTGAAAAAGTAGAGCTGGAATGCCTTTTGCCGTAGTGTGTAGAAGATTTTGATCATAGCTCAGAAGATCAGAAAACTGATAAAGTATAGACTCAGGAGATTTCTGCCAGGAAGGACAGAATTGGCTGCTAAACTGAAGACTATGTGTGTTAGACCTTAGCAGAAAGTTTGTAAGAAGTTTGCTTATGTACAGACACTTTGACTGATACTGAGATTAAGGGCTGTGGCCTAATTAATCTGGCAAAAGGAATTTCAAGTCATCTAAATTTCAGGTGGTGGCGTGGCTATTGTTGGGTCCTTTTAGACAGATTTATGTTGCGAATCAAGAGCAACAAGCTCAGAAGGATGATTTAAAACATTTTGAGTTTGGCCATAAAGGAAGATCCAATAAAGTTATGACCTGCAAA